TATGAAAAAGTCCTTATCAGTGAGCTTTCCTGTATCCTCTATCAATTAAGATCAATCAAAGACGCCGATGTACAAAGATTACTGCCGCGGCACTGTAGTCCATTTGAATTTGAATGAAGCCCAACGGTGTTAGATATTGACTGACATGATCGAATAATTTAATTACTCCTTGTATAAACCAGTCAACGAGTACCTATAGTGGACGAAATAGGGGAGTAAAACGCGAAATTCGGAGGTTGTGTGGCCTCACCAAAGGCTCTTTGTCCGGCGGCAACCACACACTCACTCAAAACCTAGCCTAACACCCTAGTTTCAAGCTTTATGCAAGATTCGCTGGTACCTAGTTCGATTCGCTGGTACCTAGTTCGAATCGCTGGTGCATCGTTCGATTCGCTAGCGATTCGCTCGATTCGCAAAGTATGACGTCGGCCTAAGGAAGGCAGAGCAATTACGAGTTGAGTAAAGTCTTCAAGAGGTTTTTTGATCCATTTCTACAAGTATTGTGATGCTTTCAGTTCTTGGTGGGGAATTGCTGGGTTTTTTTCATTGAAAGAAGTGGTCCCACACAGTAGGCACGCAGAAAAGGCGCTTTGGTACTTACGTGATAATAACGTTGACACATCAAGCTACTTCCCCTTTTTTCAATTCAACTCCCGTTCAGTCGGTCGTGAGATTTTGGCTTCCAGGCATTCTGACTTCGTCGATCAACTTCATTTGCAGCGCAATAAATGTCAAAGCGCTCATTCGTATCGTGTCATGTTCCAGATGGCCTATGTTCCAGCGCGGCTCGCTGCTCCGTATTGAGCAACAAAAATGTCATATCCGCCCATCTTATAATAAAGCGTCTCACTGCTTCGTGTTTACATTAGCCCGCTCGTGCCTCCTGGTAGGAATTATGCTCGCGTCGGAGTTCATTCTATAAATTCTTCGAAATTGTGTAACGAATACTAGGATTGGAATTATTCGAGTTTTATGCTCCTCTCCCATATCCATAATGTTTCAAATATCTTGCCTAGGGCGTGATTCAAATAGCTTCGCCTATTTGTCGACATAATTTGTCGCGGGCGTGGAATCGTAACAAGAATAATAAAAAAAAAAGATTCATGTCATGTGCCCTGAATGTGAATAGGGTTTTATAGATGGGACTCAATTTATCCGGATACGTTTGTATGCCGTATATGCTCCCCTCTGTCGTGGGGTTGTGTGGGTAAGCAATGGATACTTCACATTAGCTTGTTAATGTTCGCTTTCAAGGCGATTGATGAATTCTGCTACCATCAAATCTGATCACTATGTTTAAGAAAGCTACTGAACTCTAGCTCCCCGTTCTCTTTCCATCTGCTGAAGGGCAGTGCGATACTGCTCCAACTGCTGGGGATTCAATCCACTTCTGAATGGTTTGCTACCTTTTTTGAAAGCGTTAGTTCTGCTCTTTCTCACTAACGCCGAAATGTGTTGCCTGGTTGTAACTTTTGTAACGTCGAAGTCATGGCTTGTTATAGGGGACTAACAACCTAGGAACTGTTGCAATGTTTCCCCGTTATGATTTAGTTGTATTTAATGATACGAATGTGGTCATGGTGTTACTATAGGAATCCATAGAACGAAATTTCAACTACAACCGCACCAAATATGCCGAGATTCTAAGATGAGAGCAGTACGGATACAACTAAAGAGTTGGTAAAATATAGCACCGTGTATGGAGAGAGGATCCATCGTCTACCAGTTGGTGATCTGAAGTGTTGTTCAAATGTCATTGAGGGAAGTGCTCGCCTCTCAAGCTTTTTGAAGTCGGAAGTTTTTCACTAATTCATACCTTGAGTCATATGCGTGGCGAATCATATGGTTGGGATGTGATGCATTACCAGTTCCATTCTCCCAGCTCTTTTCCTTCACACCACCAAGGATTGGTCCGTGGAAGTTGCTGTTTTCAGCGCTCTGCAATACCGGTTTATTGAGCCTATTCTGTTCTGGCTACATATTTAGAAATTTACGCACTCGAGCCCAGATGGAGAGCGTTATTGGGGAGTTTGGTTAATATGCTTAGGGAAACGTAAAACGAAATTGGTTGACTCTGCTTCACAGTTTGATAGAAGTGTAATTCTTCTATAAATACTTCAAGTTGAAATAGGCGTGATTATGAGCGTATTTCACATCCAGCAATCTCACGAAGTCTTTTGCTTCTTCCTGTGGCACTGTTCTCATTATAGTTTTAATCATTCGTTCATTGTTTACTGCTACTGCTGTGCTGACGTTTAATCGCTGTTTCGCCATTGATTCAGTACAAACTAGTCATAGCGGCAGCAGATGTGTTGCGATTGATGGTGACTCGAGGGTTGTTATTGTGGGCATTGATTTTATCGTTCGTTATCGAGTCCTAGGCGTTCGCTACCAAATGACGTTCTTTTTTTTTCATTCGTCACTCATTTAATTCCAGTTCGTGACGTGACCGTGTGAGTGGCTTATCGATTTTTTGCCGTTTCATTTGTTAGCGTCATCAGCGTTGGTGTTTCTGTTTCATCATGGCTACGCCTGCAATGGAATGTGAGTTTTAATTGGATTCGATTTTTGCTGTTATATTGCTTTCGCCCTGATTTTCATAAGTTTATTCAGTGTCAGTAATTTGAACAAGTTATAGCTGCTGACCCCGTGTTCGATACTTATGATGGTACGACACAACTAAGTGATGCTGAAACTGCTATTCTGAAGGAAGAACTGAGAAAGGTTATCTCATCTTGAGCGAGCTTCATCTTGTGTCGGTCCTTTCGTTCTCACTTTTTCAGACTGAAGAAGAAATTCAAACGTTGAAACAGGTTCTTCTTGCCCGTCAGAAGCATGCATCCGAGCTAAGCGTAAGCTGGGTTTGAATCCATTGGTTGAGCTTGGAAATGATATCAACAAAGGACTAAAGGCTGTCACTGATACGGAAGCGTAAGTTCTTTTTTTGTTCTATCAAGATTGGTTTTGCCTTGATCAGTGAATTTCACCGTAAAATCTTTCGACATATTAAAGACGTGCCTATATTGTGTCGGAGATAAGCCCGTTGAATGGCACGAGATTGTTGCCACTGAGCTTATTGGTTTTGAAGTGCGCTCGGCTGGGCTTAATTTCCTCGCTTGACCCTGCTCGTTTTCTAATCTGGCAGTGTCAGTTCGGGGATTTGCCGTTCATATTAAGAGCAGTGAACGCTTCCACACAAGTTAGGACCTGCAGTCCCGTTTTTGAGCGCAGTTTCTCTTTCAGAGCAGTTTACATTTCTCTTTTGGAAACACATCCCATCTTACTTCAATTTGCTCGTGAAGACAGCTTTCCTCCAAGAGGGATAGGTATTTCCCCGGTGTTGTGGACGGGTACTTAATGATTGCTGTGTTACTTTGATTGGTTATCTTTTATTCTTTCTAGAATGCATTAAAATTGGTCTTATTTAGTGTGAACGCGAAGTTACTGCGGTTTTTACCCTTGAGCAATTATTATGACGAATATGAGCCTATTCATTTGCAGTTTCCAAAAAACAACTGAAGTCGCTGCAGCAACTGCAGACACCGTGAAACACAAGTGGAACGATGTCCGTAATTCATCTCTTTTCAAATCGTTCGAATCGAAATTGGGAACAGCTTACACCAGCGTGAGTGTTTTTCTTCTAATCTTAAGCAGCATTTTTGCAGATTTACTGTTAGAGCTCTTATTTTTTCCTTTTTCTTTATTGAGTAGAATAGTCTACACAACTTCAGTCCTTTCGAAGGATCGACTGAATCCCAGAAATTCTATAGTTTTTCGCTCCAGGAAAAATCGATTTTTTGAGAGTAATTACACAAAATGCGCGATGGGGCTTTTTCTGGATAACTTACGGAAGGGCTCCAGCAGATACACTCGCCTTCGAACGACCAGAAAGTTTATTTTTTTTTTTGTTTTGTTTTTTTTTTTTTTTTCTGCAATTGCACGAAAATGACGTGGGCATCGATTCAAGAACATCTTTGAGCACACGTGACGTCACCTTTTCATCGAGAATTTAGCCACGTGTGCCAATGCCACGTCAATTTCTGCAATTGCACAATTTCTGGTCATTTGAAGGCGAGGGTATCTTTTACATAATAGTCTTTACTCTTCTTGAATAGTTTTGCTGTTTATATCAAAGATGTCAATCATTCGGAATCTCGTTTGTGATAGTAGGACAATATAAAATAAACATGAGAATTCGATGAGAAACCGGTTAGATGGGTGTGGGTTAGATGGACGGGTTCAAAGCGTTTGCAGCTAGAGAAGTTTTTGGATTGTTGTCATTTGCAGCAGTCCTTTTAGTCACGGTTTACTGAGGTTTTCTGGTGAAGTGTAGTGAAGCAATGGCACGCAATGCGCGAGGCTTTTATTGAGTTTCATTCCTGTTGATTGCCTTTGTCACGAAGGTCATTGCTTGTGGAATGTTAATAACCACTAGATTAATACATTCCTGAACAGGTTATTGAGGAACGCCAGAGATTTGTGAACAGGGTATTGCAAAGAACTTCTTGTGTGAAGAAGACATCATTACTCGATCAAGGGTGTACATTTCGATCGTTGTTTGCACAGCTGTCATCTATGTGCATGTGTCCGAATTCCGTAAGCTCGGCGCTCATGAAAGAGGAGCGAAGAGCTTGAGCCATTTCCTTTCCTAGGGATCCTCTCATTCCGGAAGATAGAGAAAATCTGCATCGGTTATGGTTTCAATTTTTGGGCATACTGTTTTAGGTTTCATCCAGAATTTGTCATAGGTGATCAATAGAATTTAACACGTTGACGACCATCGCGCGTTTTGGGTTTTTGCACTGCGTAGGATAGGGGCGCTTCTGCGAGCGTGGCCGTCATACTTCACACCCGTAAATTTCGAACGATAACCTTGGGAAGCTTCAAAAGGCTACG